ATTAAATAAATAAACGACACCAACCTGATTGCGGGATTAAAAAAAAAAAAAAAAAAAAAAAAAAAAACAAATAAAACTAGTAAAGGTTTTTTGCTTATTTCTTGACAATATAGATTCATATACAAGATTATTAGTAACAATATTTATAAAAAAATCCATTATATTCTATATCCTGACATACTTTATCAAAAAACATCTTGTTTTATACTTAAACAGAATATTATTTAAATACTTAAATAGTATAGTTTTAAATATGAAGCACTCTGTACAGTACAGCTGTTCCTTTTTTGTCTTGAGTTCTAAAGAATATATTCTAAAAAAAAAGTTAATTCTTAATATAGTATATTTGATAGAAGATCAATCTTTTCTTATAATGTCTAGCAGAGAAGCGATTATTTAACTATTTAGTAAAGTTATCCAATTTAAGTTTAAAATAAAATAATATTACTTCAATATCCAATGTTATTTATGTAGGTGCCAAGATCATAAGAAAACACACCCATACCATTCTATTCTTACTATCTAATACTAATACCATTGCTATACCATAAACCTAGTTACTATATCCTAAAATGCGTGGTCCTGTTCCAAAGTCTTGAGTGACTATATATGTTGGGTACCGACCGTCACACGCAATAAACCTTAAAATGCACCGTTCCTTATTCAAAGTCTTGATCACACTGTCCTATTATCACTACCTTATGCCTTAAAACAATTTATTATGACGCAATGTAGATCAGTAATCATAGGATATAAATAAAGATATACAAAGATAATTTATTTTTTTCTTTACTGGAAGCGGACTCGTTCTAAGAGTGCATCGGGTCTCTCGTTTCTAAGAGGATATGGCGTTCCTCGTTGCTAAGAGGGCATGGGGTTTCTCGTTGCTAAGAGGGCATGGGGTCTCTCGTTGCCAAGAGGGCATGGAGTCTCTCGTTGCTAAGAGGGCATCGGACTTCCCGTTTCTAAGAGGGCATGGGGTTTCTCGTTGCCAAGAGGGCATGGGGTTTCTCGTTGCTAAGAGGGCATGGGGTTTCTCGTTGCTAAGAGGGCATGGAGTTTCTCGTTGCCAAGAGGGCATGGGGTCTCTCGTTGCTAAGAGGGCATCGGACTTCCCGTTTCTAAGAGGGCATGGGGTTTCTCGTTGCTAAGAGGGCATGGGGTCTCTCGTTGCCAAGAGGGCATCGGGCTTCTCGTTGCTAAGAGGGCATGGGGTTTCTCGTTGCCAAGAGGGCATGGGGTCTCTCGTTGCCAAGAGGGCATGGGGTCTCTCGTTGCTAAGAGGGCATGGGGTTTCTCGTTGCTAAGAGGGCATGGAGTCTCTTGTTGCTAAGAGTGCATGGGGTCTCTCGTTGCTAAGAGTGCATGGGGTCTCTCGTTGCTAAGAGTATATTAGGTCTCTCGATCTTTACTAGAAGTAGGCTCGTTGTTAAGAGTGTATTAGGTCTCTTGATCTTTACTGGAATTGTTATTCTCCAGAATTTATTACTGGCAAAATATTTAGTAGGTATAGTTTTTTTTTTTTTTAAGTCCTGGCATCACGTAATATTCTAACTCCCAAATTCTTTCTCTATTATCCGATTTATAATGCTTTATTATTCAACTTAAGCAGAGTAAATATTTCTATCCTAGAAGAGGTATATCTTAAATTTATTATTTTATTATCGAAAAATCAAAAAAGCAGATATACTGTATTTTTTAAAATATATATTAATAAAATTTAAACAAATCGGTTTTATATTAAAAAACATTTTGTAATTTTTTAAATTTAATTTTTCTATTTACAATTGATATATAAATTTATATACGTTGTAACGGTGACGCTAATGATAGCTAAGATTCGCGTAACGATTAGTAAGTGTTTTAAGTGTGAGTGAGTCGGATTTCTTTTTTATACTTTTTACATATCAATTACGTAATAAAAATGATAAATATTAATTTAAGCTAAAGTTACTGAAATCTTATGACGAAGCGATTGTTATGTAATTTTCACATTTCATAATTCAATGGATCGATTGTGCATATTCCAGTCGCGTGGCAGTTATCGCGATTGTGTCGCGATTTAACTTACTTCTTGGCACGTCTGATCTCCTTGCTTGTGCCAGTTTTTATCATGTCTCATTCGTTTACGCTGATTCTTCGATGGTATTGCGGGAATTCAACATGTAACGTAGATTGTATATTTTACCCCAGGTTACAACGTATATATATTGAAAATTTTTTATTTATATTTTTGAATAGTAAGTAATGTTAATCAGGTATTTAACTTGCTGGTATATTATATTATATTATATAAGAGATATTTAATTATTTTGTTATATAATTATTATATATTTATATATATACTTATATAAAACAAATAAAGAATTACTTACAGTATATACTTACTTCTAATATAAAATAAATAATTAATTAATTAATAATAATAATAATTATATTATATTTAACTTAGAAAAAATTAATTTTTAATATATAAAATATTTTATAATATACTAATTATTAATATTTTTTTTGATTTAACTATCTGGGCCTTGCCTATCATGATTTTATTTGGATCATATTTGTATTTTATGTATTATAGGAATTACTATCTATGAATTATTCTACATATTGCTTGATTATATCAAATTACTTCTATATTGACTTGTTGCTATTGACCTTACCTTAAGAATATTGGTCAAGGCTAATATGCCAAGGAACTATTAGTGTTGCTATTATATTTGTTAGTTCTATTGTTAACTGTATAATGTTTTAAGGGAAAATTGAAATGTGAAAATTGGAAATAATACTTATATTTGACATCAAAAAAAAATATATCTTGAAATCATGAAAAAATGAAAGAAATGTTTCAATCAAATTTAACAAAATCAGCATCAATAGAAAATAATAATAATTTTTTTTTGAAGTATTCTGTAAGTTTTTATAATTTTTATAATTAATTTATGTATTATAATACTAAATTAAATTTTATTAATTTGTAATTTATAGCAAAATAAATATACTGTTAAAGCTAGTTACAATAACATTGTTTAGAATAACATTATAATAAAAATTGAATATAATAACATAATTTTTTAAAATAAAAAAATTCTTTTAAATAGTATGTTATAGTGTTATAACATTGGATATAATAACAATTGGATATAGTAACATAAAATTGTAAAATTAGGTTTGGTTATTGTAACCAGCATTGACTATATATAAAGCAACTGTATTTGATAAAATATATCATTTCGATTTGGATTTTTTTCAATATTAAATTGAATATACAATATATGAGAATTACTAAAGGACTTTTGCAATCTTTTACTTTTAAATAAAATGAATTAAAAACTTGCACAAATTCCAAGATTTCCAGGATTAAATTTTTTTATATATAGTATTCAATCTATTGCAAAACTAATTGCAAATAAATATAAAAATCTAATAAAAGTAATAATTTTTGTAATGGATAATATATGTAATGAAAATATATAAAATATAGATATTAAATAATTGCTAATAATTTATCAAGAATAAAATAAAATATATACAGTATAATAAGTAAATATGAGAAGTTTTCTAAAAGTAATTTAAAAAAATTTGAGATATGAAATAATTTTTTATTTAATTATATTATAAAATATTTAAAATATATTTTATTATAGAAGTTTAATAATATATAAGTGTAAAGATTTATAAAAATATTTAAAAGATTTTTAGTTTCACAACTAAAACTTCTAAAATTATATTTATAAATATATTATATAATTTCATCTATTCAAAAGTATAGAATAATTAATAGATTTACTTCAAAAATCTACGAAAGTCTCTATAAGAAACATATTAAACAACCTTATCATTTAAGTAATAAAAAAAATATCAAAGAACAACTAATGCAAAATGTAAGTATATAAATCAATTAATAAACTTTTAAAATATCTAACAATATTATATATATATATATATATATATATTGAGGTGAAAGGTGCATGCAGCATATAATTTTTATTGAATAATTTATATCCAATTACAGTACTATAATGGTTCATTTAAGTTAACCTGCTACTCCATCTATTAAACCCAATGACCTAGTATACACTCTGAAAGTGGACCCACATTTTTCGAGAAGAACCTATCTAAAGGGTGAAAATCCTACCACTAGTTTTAAACCACCTAACTTATTGATTCAGCTTGTATTCAGACAGGATGTATTAATGGAACTGGCTTGAGATACCCTAAGTCTTCTTCACCTGATTAGGCTAGAACTGATTAGGGAAGAGGAATGGAACATGTGTCGATCGGAATTGTTTAAAATAGAATATAGTCCAGTCTGTACATCCAAATGTTTGATAAGCCCATTTTGCCAATGATCATCATATTACCAACCAGACAATAATTGTACCACTACACCTTTTATGGAGGTCACAATCTCAATGCCTATTGAATCAATATGTGAATTGGTTTTCTATGAAAAACAATATATTTCAGGTTATGACACCAGATACCATATTAATACTATTCAACTGTCTTTACATGGAGTTGAACTGGTATCTTGTGATCTGACCTGTGAAGCACTAACCACTGTACTATAGACCCACAGGTCTTAATATTATATATTTTTAGAATAAAAAAAAAATAATAATTAATAAAATCGACCTATAGGTCTATAGCTTAGTGGTAAAGCTCCATAGGTCACCAGGTGAAAGTCTAGGGTTCAATCCCACCTGGTTACAAAAAATTTATTACCTTCATGATTGGTTGACTGGCTTTCAATTCATGTCGTACCCAATCAGCCACAAATCATCTTTCAAAATTAGTTAGGTTGCATGAAAATGGGACCTTTGGTCTTTCTGACGATCGCGGGCTGAAAACAGGTTGAAGCAAGGAAGGTTGCATGAGGAAAAGTTTCTGGTCTAACTCTGATAAAAAGCCCACTCTAATCCAAAACTGGCAATAGCAGATTTCATCACACAATCCCAAAAAGATATTAATTCTAAGCCGTTCTATCCCAATGTGGTGTTCTATGGAACTTAATCATATAACTTAAGGACAAAGTATCAGCCACAGGTAGTGAGAAGACTAGCCAAAAATCATTAAGCCAAGTGCGTCTAGTGAGAATCTATGAGATTAAATCAGAATCCAAGCAAGGACACCAGTTCCACAGGTGATGAAAACGGTAGTACTATGTTATGCTAGTGGTACATCTCAAGGATTGGTGATAACAGTAACTGGAATACTGGGGTTAATCTCTATAATAATATTCCATAATGTGCCCCACCCATGACAGATGCAGTCGAGATTGGACCTAGTAGGTTAGGTGGTTTAAACTAGTGGTAAGATTTCCACCTCCTATGTAAGTCCCACCTGGCATGTAGATCATCTACTTGATGTTTAAAATTTCGTATAGCTGGGTATGTCAAAGTTGTATACATAAATCACTTTAATTAGTAATAGTTAAATGATGTAACATTAGCTTCCACCAAAATACCGGTGGAGTGGGATGTTTGATATAATGACATATAACTTATGTTAATAAATGTCGCACATCTAATGCTGTTTACAACTTAAAAAAAAAATAATAATAATAATAATAATAATTAATAAAATCTCATAAAGCTCTAAAGGACAAATAATTATTCCAAAAGTATTTATATTTTCAAATAAACTATGGAAATTTGAATTAAAAATTTTAAACAATTTGATAAATAAAGTATTTCAAATTCTTTCAAAAGACAATAAAAATCATAGACAAGAATTTGAAAAACTTAAAAGTGATTTAAAATTATACTTTAATTCTTTAAATATTTTAATAAATAATTTTATATTAACAATATTTGAAACAGTTATAATAAAGAATGATGGAATTGTCTAAGCATCTAATAAATATTATAATACTTTATGGCTTAGTGATATATTGATTAAAATGAACTTTGAAAAATTATGTAATTATATGACAGATGATAAAATTTGTTACAAAAAGATAATTATAATTATTTAAAATATAAATATTATTTTATTTTAAGATCAATATAATTTTTTTAGGTTTTATTAATAATAAAGATAAGTAGAACAATTCAGAAACCTCTATTTCAATTAGTATTAATACAATAGTATAATTTAAATTAAAAAAATCACCATATATATATGAATACATATATCTTAAATCAATATACTGTATATATATATAATCTAGTAGATATAAGAGCAATAGATAATTTAATTTATATAATTTCAAGATTTGATAAAAGTAATAAATATTTATTAAATAATTACAGTATTTATTTTAATATAATTATTATTACTTTAAAGATTTTTAAATTTTTTTGAAATAAAAATTTCTGAAGTTTATTA